CAGCACTCTGCAAACTCACCAGCATGAGTGGGGCTACCCTGGGCTACACTGCGCCAGCCAAACTCAGATGGACTCAACTGAATCCAGCTCGAACCAGCAGAGTCCAACCTGGGCCAGCTGAGCCCAGTTTGAGTCAGAGAACTCAGCCTGATTAGTTAAACCCAGGCAGGCTCAGCAGAGCTCAGCATACAACAGCTGAGTCCAGGGAAGATCAGTGGAGATTAGCTTGGATCAGCCAAGCCCAGGAAAGAGTAGCCGAACTCCATATGCATCGACCAGGCCCACTCCGTGATCAACCCAGATCGCCTCATCCTCGCCTACAGCTCATGGAACACAAACTCTCAGCCTCTACTCAGTGGTGATTGTGGCAGAGCCGGCAGAGGCTTCCTGGGAACTCTGAGGGCTTCGTGCGTAGGTCCTGACTGTTTCCTTGTGTGTCTTCTGTGCTGCTGAACTGGCTCCAGAACTCAACAGCCATGATCCGAACTTAGAGTCCAATGCTCCCTCCCTGAGGAAGAGGCGCTAGTCAGTCCTCAGGTAAGGAAAGACCAAAGCAGGTGACTTTGGAAGAAGGGGGACAGTGAGCGGATTCTGACTTGGGTGGATAGCTCAGAGTAGGACTTCTTTAAAAAGAAAAAAAAAAAAAAGAGTAAGAGTCCAAGATGTAGGCTATGATGTAGCACAGTGTTAGAGCACTTCTGTCTCAAGCTCTTGCTTGGTCACTGGTAATACACAAAGGGCAGTGGTGGCACCTCCCATAATCCCAGCACTGGAGGCTGAAGCAGGAGGAACAGAAATTCAAGGTCATCTTTGAGACCACGTACTGAATTTGAAGTTAGTTTGGGTTACAGATGTAAAACCTTGTCTCAAACAAACAAACAAATCCAAGTTCTACCTGCAGAATTAAAGAATAAAATAGTTCACTGTGTCACTGCGAGACAATAAACAACACCAGGCTTCCATCTGTCCCTCCTCCCCACTTTCTACAGATAGGAATTTAAACAAACAAACCGAAAGCAAACAAAAAACAAACAAAACAACGAACAGCCAGGTGGGCGGCACGTGACTTTAATCCCAGCACTGGGAAGGCCGAGGCAGGTGGATCTCTTGAGTTCGACGCCAGCCTGTTCTGCATAGATGAGTTCCAGGACTACACCTTGAGACCTTGTCTCAAAGTAAAAACAAAAGCAAAAAAAAAACAGCTCTCAAGGGCTAGGAGTGTAGCTCACTGGAAAAGGCAAGAACTACCTCAATTACCTCTAGCATGCTGTCAGCCCTTGCTCAAACTCCAGTACCACAAAACCAGATACGCCCATCTGTGTCTAATCCCTCCCAAATCATGCAAGCAAGTCCTTGCTTCCCTCCGTGGAGGATTTAGCTCATTCAACCCCTTCCCCCCTCCCCCCCACTTGCCCTCTCTCTGACCCTGCCCCTGCCCCAGGACCCTGGAGTCACGACTTAGTGAGACTGATATTCTGTGACTTTGAAGCTGGTCTTCATCGTGGAACTATGCTGACCACTCCACCCTCTTTTTTTTTTTTTTTTTTTGTCCTTTCCCTTCACAAATTTCCCAATAATGCCATGGGTCCCAGGGGTGGGGTGGGGCAGACTGGGAAAGGCGTAAACCCTTCATCCACCTCCATCCCTCCATCCTCACCAAGATGGGGACAGAGAGGTAGAGACAGAGAAATCCTGGCAGGCTCTGCCCTCCCAGGATCTGAGGAAGTCACAGTCAGTCTTGAGCACAGAAAGACGGCAGAGCAGGGTTGGGTCTCATTGCCAGGGAGGGCAAAGCTGTGGGCTCTAAATAGGACCTTCTGCTGCCGCACTTTCTGTTGCTACGATAAACACCAGGGCCAAGGCAACTCACAAAAGGAAGCATTTATTTGAACTTATGATTCCAGAGAGTGAAGAGTCCATGATAGTGGAGTGGAGATGGCAGGTGGGGTGGCTGGAACAGCAAGCTGAAAGCTCGCCTCTTGAGCCCTGAACTCCAAATGGTGAGTCTTTTAACTCTTGAAGCCGGCCTCCAGTGACACCCTTCCTCCAACAAAGCCACACCTTAGCCTCCCCAGACAACACTACCAACTGGGACCAGATAGCCAAATGTCTGAGACTATGGGGGACACCTCATTTAAACCCCACAGCAGTCGCCTCATGTCCCCTGGACTGTAGGACACCTCCGCCCTGCCAAGTCCTGTGCAGGGGAGAGCTCAAGATGAGCGGTGGGCAGCCCAGGCTCTGCGACTGGCATGAAGATCCCTGATGGCCTAAAGGACAGCGTGACATCACTCAAAGTCACAGAAGGACTCAAGAGAGGTAGACGCTTCCGTCCACACCAAAACCTGTCCACTGAGGACTTTGGTGTTTTTCATTGTCTTCAGAGACTGGATCTATTCAAATGCTTCATTATTGGAGGGAGACATATAATGATTTGTTTACACAAGAGGCTTTCACTGAGAAAGGAAAAAGAGGAAACTATTAACATACCACATCAACATGACAACACCCCAGATTCATCATGTCAAGTGGAAGAAGCGACACACCAAATCTATACCTCAAGATGGCATTTATGTGACATTCGGGGGCGGGGGGGGGGGAGTGATTGACGGGAAAAGTGCTACTGTGGCAAGAGGCGCTCACTACAGAGCAACAGAGGCGGCGGAGGGGGGGGTGTTGGGTGAAGGAAGTGTTTTATAAATGGATTATTGCCGGGCAGTGGTGGCGCATACCTTTAATCCCAACACTTGGGAGACAGAGACAGGTGGATCTCCGTGATTTAGGTCAGCTTGGTCTACAGATCGAGTTCCAGGATAGCCAGGACTGTTACACCGAGAAAACTTGTCTCAAAAACAAACAAACAAAACAAAACGGAATAAAAATAGCCAGGCGTTGGTGGCTATCTTTTTATCCCAGTCTTTGGGAGTCAGAGGCAGGCAGATCTCTGAGTTTGAGGTCAGCCTGGTCTATAGAGCTAGTTCCAGGACAACTAGGGCTGTTACACAGAGAAACCCCATCTTGGAAACAAAACAAAACACCAAAAGGGTTATTGCAGTGGTTACATAGCTCTATGAATTTGTCAAAATTCTTAGTTATACATTAAAAACTATACACACACACATACTTGCATGTTATGGAAGTCTTATATACATACACACACACACACGTATGTATATAAGACTTCTGTAACATGCAAGTAACAATGAAAAGATACAGTTGGGGCTGGGAATGTACCTTGTCTAGCATGCATGAAGCCCTGAGCTTGAACTCATCCCTGTATAAAAGGAGTGTGGTGATACGTGCCTGTAAGTCCAGCTCTCAGGAGGTAGGGACCAGAGCGGGAGTTCAAGGTCATCCTTGGTGGCACAGCCAAGTGTGAGGCCTTTAAGAGCTAATATGAGACAGTGTCCGGGGGGGGGGGGGGGGGGGGGCGTAGCCAGTGTCGGTATCTCTATAGGAAGGTCACTGGGGTGGATGGGGGGGAAGAAGGAGGAGTAGGGAGAGGATCAGAAGAAGGGAGGGCTGAGGTCCAGAGTCTTAACCCAGGGTAAATCTGAGCAATGCACTTTGTGGATGTGGCCCTGCCTGCTTCAGAGGCTCTGAGGAGGAGGGCAAGCGTGTCTGCTGTGCTGTTTTGTTTTAGACGGGGTCTTATTGTGCAGTCCGTGCTTACCTGAAACTTGTTATGTTGCGCAGGCTAGCCTTAGCTAAAAATCCCTTGGGCAGCCCAGTCTGGGTCTTACTCTTCCTACTTCCTAGCTTCTTGGCTTCTTTGCTGGGACTTGACCGCAGGGCCTCCTGTATACTCAGCAAGCTCTCTACCACTGAGCTGCACCCCAGCCCTAGGGCCAGCAAGTTGGTACAATTCGGTACATTCTGTAGGTACGTCACAGACGGAACGATGGAGAGCGTCTCCCCTGTCACACCCGTCTGCCCCCATTCCCCTTCCCTGTGTCCTAGAGTGGTGGGCATTTCTCCTGACCTAAGCCAATACAGGGAGAGGAAATCCCAAAGGGATGGAATAGCGCCCTGTGAGAAACCCAGTTTTCACGCTGTCTCTGCCCAGGGCCCATGATCTGCTGGGACTGGGAAAAGTGGGGGAGTGCATCAGGCTCTATGGGGGTGTTGACTTTCAGGGTTAATCACCAGCAGGCCAAGCTGAAATTCTTCTTGCATACTTTTAAAAACAAAACAGAACAGAACAAAACAAAACAAAACAGGGTTTCTCTGTTTATGCCGTAACCCTGGCTGTCCTGGAATTCTTTCTGTAGACCAGACTGGCTTTGAACACAGAGATCCACCTACCTCTGCCTCTGCTGGGATTAAAGATGTGCGCCACCGCACCCAGTCTTTTGTTTGCTTTTTAGAGACCAGAGTCTTGCTAAGTAGCCCCGTCTGGCCTCTTCATCCTCCTGCCCCAGCCGCTAGAGTGCTGTGACCTCCCTGTTGTGTTCCCACAGCTGGCTACAATGTTTGTTTATTTATTTCTTGGCATAAGTATGCTCCATGCAACATTCGGTACCTACAGTATCACTCATCAAATACTTCACTAGAAAAAGTGTTCATTTATCTGGAGTTCAAATGAAACTGGCCCATCAGTTTTTATCTGACAGGGGAACACATTTGGGTGACAGAAAAGATCTAGATAGCAGTGAAGGCAGGGGGAGACATCTTTCACTCCTCAGCCTTCCCTGAAGCATGTGTCACTTGGAATTGACCCGGCGCCTCACCTCCTCCAGGCAGCCTCCTGGATTGTAACTCCACTGTTCCTGTAGTCTCAGCTCAGGGCTGCCAGCCCTGACTTGTAGACTCGCTCACTCCTTGGCCCCAGGCAACTGCCGAGGTGCCTGGAGTTATTCCTTGCGTGTGAAGACCAGGCTGGGTGTCTTAGTACTGGCCGCGGGGACAGCGTGCGTGTGGTGGGTCTTCCTTTGCTGGCTGGTGGCTGAGTGGCAGCCTTGCTCTTACATAATCAGTCTCTCTCCTCCTTCTTTTTCCAGAGCTAGACTTCACACCGAGCAGCGGCGGCAGTCGGAGAAACCAGAGAAAGCGCCACCCAGCTCCAGATTCCAAGAGGCCTGCTGGGGACTCCCTTCTCTTCCTCCTCTTCCTTCCGAGACCCCAGAGCCACAGTCTCACACCAGCTCCCGAGCTGCAATGGGACTGGCAGCCACCGCCCCCTGGCTGCCCTCCGCCCTGCCAAGCAGATAGGGCGGTAGCTACCCCAGGAGTACCTGCCCCCTCTCAACCTGGGCCAGCCTTTCCCGACTTGGTGGCCACCCTTGCTGACCCGAGGCCATGTAGGTCCTAGCTCAGGCCACTGGACACACTGCTGGGGACAGTGCCTCTGCTGTCAGGGGGCACCCAGTGCACCATCATGCCCTGGGGACTCGCCTGGTTATACTGTGAGTACTGGGGGGAGGGGGAGTTATACCTGGGGATCCTGTCCTGGAAGGCCTTGGTGGGTGGGTGGCTCTACTGTAACCATAGCAACCAGGGCAGCTCCTGTTGGTAAGAAGTTGGGATGCTTTCCAGGGGGTTGCAGGCAGCCTCCGGGATGAGAGATCCACGGCCACCCTCTGCTCTGCCTGCCTCTGACCTCAGGCTCAGATGTGCGAGCTGAGTGGGCACAACAGATGCAGGATGGGCCGGCACTGGGGTGGGTGGCAGCTTCTCACCTCTGTAGTTTCATTGGCTCTGGGGTGCAGGGTGGGGACAGAGGTTGTAGAGAGAGGATTTCCATCCTCCTGGGTGTGGCTAGTTGGGGGTAGGGAAGGCACAACACGTGGGGCCTGAGAGGCCTGGAGAAGGAAGCTGCCAGACCCTTCTACCCCTCCCTCCACAGGAGGTCAAAATTAAAAAGCAGAAAGACAATGATGTTACTGATAAAAAGAAGAATAAGTTGAAACAAGGATAGAAATCAGCAAAGGACCTGTGGGATGTTTATAGCTGCTGGGTGGGAAGCCAGGCTGAGCCCTCACAGACTCAATGGCAGCCGCAGGCTTTGGAGAGTCGTTGTCAGTGACAAGGACCTGGCCTGCTTCGCACCTCCCATCCCCACCGCCACTTGAAGTTATTTATGCCAAATAAATGCGGGCAGGGGCTGAAACCACAAGTCTCCAGAGAAGAGCTGGGCACAGTCTGTGTCTGGTGCTCAGACACTGCAAAGGGTGGGGACATTCGGAATGGGTGAAGTTCCCAGACAGACCCACCTCTTAATGGAACATGGGTGGTGGCGTGGGTGAGGGTTTTTTCCAGGAGGACACAAAGGTTAGGTGGTAGACACACTGGTAGACGTAGGATGATGGGTGGAGCTAGCTCTCCAAACAGGGACCGGTGTGTGTGGTGGGGCTGAGTGGGGTTCAGCTGGAAGGGGCAGGCAGGTCATGTGCAGGCCCCCTGAAGCCTTAAATACCAGGCAGGGGACTGAGGGATTAGGCATCTGAGGGTCAGTTCTTGAGGTGAAGCGATCACACTTAAAGATTCAGTTTCAGTATTTTTAATTATGTGTCAATGTGTGGGTGGGTACACATGAGTGCCAGTGGCCCTTGGAGGCCAGAGGTGTTTGATCTCCCTGGAGCTGGAGTTACCGCCACCTGACATGGTGGGAACTGAACTCGGGTCCTCTAGAAGGGCAGAAGGCACTCTGAACCACCGAGCTACCTACCAGTCCTAAGTGATTAGATTTATTTACTTATTGTGTTGGTGTGTGTGTGGTATGTGTCTGTGTACCATGGTATGCATACGAGAGCCAGAGGAAGTGTGGGTCCTGGGAATTGAACTCAGGCCCTTGGGCTTGATGGCGAGTGTCTTTATCTGCTGAGCCACCTCTCTAGGCCCACCTGAGGGGAAGTGAGGCTGGAAATGAACACAAGCAGGAGGGGAGCTTCAGATGGCATCTCTTAGGACTTAGCAAGGACAGTTGAGGGGAGAGATTGGCAGGGCAGAGGCCCCATATTGCATGGGGCTGAGGATCTTGGGGGATGTAGGCTACTTTAACGTATCACCATGAATTTGTGACTCGGCTCCATCAAGGTATTTCCTTCTAGTTCTGGGGACTAGAGGTCTGAAACTGGGTCACTGATCACTACAGCTTCTGAAGGCTCTAGGGGAGGGTCCTCCTGCCTCTTCCAGATTTCTTGGGACTGCCTGTGTCCCTTGGCAGGTGGCAGCATTGCAAGCTTGCACAGCACCCCCATCTGCAAGGCCTTTCCCTCTACACAGTCTTCCTCCTGGAAAGCCAGTCATTAGATCTAGGCTCTCCCCAGGCCCCGGATGATCTCACATCAACAGCCTTTGTTTTAATTACACCTGCAAAGAACCTGTTTCCAAATCAAGTCATTCTGAGATTCGAGGTGGATAAGAATTTGAGAGGGGGACGCTATTCAACCCATTAAGCAGGTTTGTGTGTTGTGGCACCTGTGTGGCAGTCAAAGCACAGTTTGCAGGAGTTAGTTCTCTCCTACTGTGTGGTTCCTGGGATTGAACTCAGGTAGTCAGGCTTGGTGGCAAGCCCCTTTGCCCACTGAGCCATCTTGTTGGCTTAATACTAGTTGTGTATTTTTTGTTCCTTCAGCCCAAGACTATGTTAGGTGCATGGCAAAGACTGATTCTTGCAAACTTGCCTCCTTGCAAGAATGTGGTTGTCAGCCTGGTGGGGGTGGCGCATGCCTTTAATCTCATCAGCACTTGGGAGGCAGAGGCAGGCAGATCTCTGGGATTTCAAGGCCAGCCTGGTCTACAGAGCTAGTTCCAGGACAGCTAGGGCTGTTACACAGAGTGGTTGTCTGAGTTCTGTAGGTGGGGAGGGCAGGGCCTGAGCAGACCCAAGCATCATGGTAAACAGTGCTCCTAGGGCTTGGTCCAGTAAGTGGGAACAAGCGGGGTGGTCTGGGAGGAAGGGGAGGGAAGCTAAGAGGGAGCACGGCCCAGGCCAGTAGATGTACAAAGACAAACACCTTCAAGGTGACAGGAAAGGGAGTGGGAAGACCCCCAGTTAGTGATGTCAATGAGGACAGACTGGGGAGGGGACTCAGCCTGCCTGGCTGTCTTGGCGAAAAGGAAAGGGAAGAAAAGAAAAGGCAAAAGATAATTATTGGTTTTGAGAACAACAATAATAATAATAGATAGTAAGTTGGATATGGTGACACACCTTTAATCCCAACACCCAAGGAGAGGCTGGTGGATCTATGTGAGTTCAAGCCAGTCTGGTCTTCATGAAAAGTTCTAGGCCAGCCAGGGTGGCATACTGAGAGACTATGTTTAAAAAAAAAAAAGATACTGATTGGAGAACATTAAAAAATGTCCTGGAACGTAAAGATGACTGTAATAATCTCCCACAGAAATCTGACATATTTATTTTTTCGAAAGCACAGGAAATCAATTAATAAACCTAAAGCCGTCCTACGCATTGCCAATACTGTTGGCGCGGGCTCCCTTCAGAGGCCGCTAAACATATCTTAAGTATTTCATACCACGAGTCGCCTCTCCGACAAGTGAATAAATGTTAAGAAGGAATAACGATGCTGTGTAAGTCTCTGTCCATGAATCTGTCCTGTTTCCTTTCTAGTTACAAGTTTAGTGGGTCAGCATCAGTGGGCCAAAGGTTGTAGAGTTTAATTCCATTTTATTATTAAATGTGCCAAGTGTATTTCCAGGCTGAGAGCTCTTTTGGCAGCATCAGGATTATTAAAATGAAATTATCTCATAAAAACCTTTCCATTTCCTTGAAATCCCTGGTTGGCTTTGTGTGTATATGTTTCTCTGGCTACAGACTGAATCCAATTGTTCTCATTTGAATTTATTTCTCTCAATAGTGAGGTTGGCCCTTTGGGTGTCGCTTTCTCGTCTATGTTTCTCTCATTCACTTGACCCCTATTCATATTTTTTGTAAGTTCTCTCAAATATATTTTTTTTCTGTTTACAAGTACAGATCTGGAGAGTTGTTTTTGAGGCTACAGTGACACCTAGTGGTAATTCCTGGTACTGTTTCAATTGTTGGGACAGCCAGTGTGTGTGGTCTGTTTAGCATCCCAGAGCCTTTAGACTGGAAGGAGCTATAGACCTTCTGGTACATCTAATGGAGGAGAATGCCAAGGTCATATAGTTCATAGAAGAAAGTCTCTGGGTCACCAAAATCCATTTTAAGATCTGGAACTAGACTTTGTATCCAAAACTCTGAAGGGAAAATCAAAAACAGTTGTGAAACCTGTCACACCAAGGAAGGGGCCGAGGGTGCCCTGGAATAACAGGAAGTAGGGGAGATTGGAGACCAGACTTTGGGTGTCTCCCTGAGGACTCTGCTGCCCAGGGGTGGGATGTGCTTACTATTCCAGGGCTCTGCTCCCCTGCATTTCCCATCAGTACTCGCCACCCTTGAAAATGGAGGATAGTTGACAGAGCTGTGCACAGCAGGGGGCGTGAGCTGATACAGCTGTGCACAGCAGGGGGCGTGCACACACAGTGCTTGGTCTCATAGGCTCTCGTTGGCTGTGGCCCACAGGTCTTGGGATCCTACTTGGCATGACTTTGGGGAACGAGAATTTGGAGATGTGGACTCTGACCCAAGATAAGGAGTGTGACCTTACGGGCTACCTTCGGGTCAAGCTGCAGTACAAGAACCGGCTTCAGTACATGGTAACGGGAAAGAGCACCAAACGGGTCCCTGTTCCCAAGTCCCAAGGCTCACCTGGAGCTGTGCTCACTTCCCACCCCAGATATGTCAGCCCCAATGTTATAGTGACATTGCCCACCTTGGTCTATCACATAACCAAGTGTATAAGAGGATCACCTTCCACAGCTCCCTCCTTCTTCGCTGACCTTTAACCTACTTCCATGTGGCTTTCAGCCTATAACTCAGAAAAGGCCTCCAGGGACTCACTTGGGACAAAGACCTTCAAGTCAGAAAATGGTTCCTTTTGGAGACTGGAGATGCCCACATGATGTAGTGTTTCTTTTTTTTTTTTTTTTAAATATTTATTTATTTATTTATTTATTTATTATGTATACAATATTCTGTCTGTGTGTGTCTGCAGACCAGAAGAGGGCAGCAGACCTCATTAAAGATAGTTGTGAGCCACCATGTGGTTGCCAGGAATTGAACTCATGACCTTTGGAAGAGCAGGCAATGCTCTTAACCACTGAGCCACCTCTCCAGCCCCCTGTTGTAGTGTTTCTACATGGCTAGGTTTTTATTTGCTTCTTTCTCTCTCTCTCTCTTTCTCCCACCCTCCCTCCTTTAAGACCTAACTTACTACATATAGTTGGGACTGGGCGGCCAGGAAACGATAGAACAAGAGCAGTCTCCTTCAACCCCATGGCCTTGAACTTCTAACCCTCCTGCTTCTGCTTCCTGAGGGCCAGGATCACAGATGGGTGCCAATGAGCCTGGTTCACGCAGTGATGCGGCCTATGCAAGCCCAGGCCTTGTCTATGCTGGGCAAGCACGCTACCATCCCTAGCCCTTGTTTTGCTTTATTGATACAGAGTCTCATTATGCTGGACAGGCTGGTTTTGAACTTGAGATCTTCCCGCTTCAGTTTCCCGAGTTCTGGGATGGCAAGCACGTGCCCAGCTATTTAGGACTATCTTTGAGACTGTTTTTGTTGTGATGTTGAGATGTATTCATATCCTATACAACCCACTAACTGAAAGCGTACAACACGGGCTGGTGAAGTCTGAAGACCTGAGTTCAATTCCCAGAACCCACATAAAGGTGGAAGGAGAGAACCGACCCCTGAAAGTTATCCTTTGACCTCCATATCAGTGTTGAGGCATGTGGATGCCTGCACACACGCACGCACATGCATGCGCGCACACACACACAACACAATATTAGTAATAACAATAAATAATAAGGTATCTGGCTCATTGGTGCTTAGTGTGTTCACAGAGATGTGCAAAGGTTACCTCTGTAAGCATCAGACGAACCACACTCACCTCCAAAGTAACATGTCTTCCTGAAAACCCTTGGTCCATACCCTGGCTCTGAAACTTCAGCCCTTATAGAACTGTGTATCTGATTTCACCTTCCCTTTGTCTCGGGGGGGGGGGGGGGGAAGGGAGCTGTCTTCTTGTTAGAGGACCTCTCTGCCATCAATCACACTGTTAGGCCGGGTCCCTCTCTGGGGGTCCTGTCTAAGCCTGTTCTGCTTCTGACCTCACGCTTTGTTCCTCCCCAGAAACATTACTTCCCCATCAACTACAGGATCCCTGTGCCTTATGAGGGGGTGCTCAGAGTCGCCAACATCACGAGGCTGGTGAGGATCCCTCCTGGGATGGGGAGTTTCTGCCTTCCACGCCCTCAGAAGCACGTGGGTCCTTGGCAGGTTGTCCTACTGACCAGGGGCCTTGCCCTGGCCACTCCAGCCAGCTTGCTGCTGATCTAGGCCCAAGGTTGTCTGCTGGCCACAGCAGGTGACTGCAGCTGCTCCCAGACAGTGGCAAGTCCTTGGGGTGGGGTCGCAGCCCAAAGGCCTGGCTTGCATTTCCGCGATCTCTCCTGTCCCTGCACCTGCAGCAGAAGGCCCGTGTGAGCGAGCGGGAGCTGCGGTACCTGTGGGTCCTGGTGAGTCTCAATGCCACTGAGTCTGTGCTGGACGTGCTGCTCCAGGGCCACCCGTCCTGGGACTATCTGCAGGAGGTTCAGACACTGCTGGAGAATGTTCAGCGGAGCCTCATGGTGAGCTGTGGGCATGCACAGATGCAGGGAAAGGCTGCAGAGGGAAAGTTCTGGTGTGTGCTGAGGATGTGGGGGCCATGGGAATGGTGTGCAGGAAAAGTGACCAAGGAGGGAGGAGACGCCATGATTACCATGATGTATCAGAGCAAATGAACTGGGGTGGGGGACAGGAGGATCTTAGGACTTTTTTTTTTTTTTTTTGGTTTTTTTCAAGACAGGGTTTCTCTGTGGTTTTGGAGCCTGTCCTGGAACTAGCTCTTGTAGACCAGGCTGGCCTCGAACTCACAGAGATCTGCCTGCCTCTGTCTCCTGAGTACTGGGATTAAAGGCATGCGCCACTACTGCCCGGGCTCATCATTTTTATTTTATAACCCATAGAGGCCAATTAGTGCTACTCACCGAACTGTTCACCAATAATGCTGGCTTGACCTTGTGCAGGCCACCAGAGTGAGCAGAGTGAGTTCACAGATGCACGGGGTGCATCATAGCCATGAGACAGCATTTATTTGTTTGTTTATTTAGAGACAGAGTCTCACTGCAAAGCCCTGCCTGGCCTGGAACTTGCTATGTAGAACAGGCTTTGCCTCTCATGCCCTGGGTCTGGGGCAACCCAGGGAATCCTCTGACTTCGCTTCTGCATCTGAAAAATGAGGCTCCTCCAGAAAGGGGGAAAGAAAGAGAGGCGGGCCAGGAGGTGGTGGCACGCGCCTTTAATCCCAGCACTCGGGAGACAGAGGCAGGCAGATCTCTGTGAGTTTGAGGTCAGCCTGGTCTACAAGAGCTAGTTCCAGGACAGGCTCCAAAGCTACAGAAAAACCCTGTCTCGGGAAAAAAAGAAAGAAAGAAGGAAAGAAAGAAAGAAAGGAAAAGAAAGAAAAAAAGAAAGAAAGAGAGGCAAGTGATGGGAATTTCCATTCAGAAACTCTTCTGTGTAATATGGTAATCACAGATTGACCCGTGACGTTAGGTTTTTATCAAAACCCATGGAACACTTAGGGTGAACTCTAATGGCTATGACTTAGTTTAGAAAAAATAGAAGGGAAAAGAGATGGTGTGGCCATCTGCAACCCAGGAGTCTGGAGGCTGAAGAATGATGTTAAATTTGAGGCCAATCTAGGCTACATAGTGTCTTGAAAACAAACCCCAAACCATTTGATAGCCAACTACGGGCTCAGCTGCATGTCCCACCTGCCTCGGGTCCTTGGTGTGTGCCTTCTGGGACACACATACCACCCTGCTTAGCCAGCTGCTTGGCCTCCTTAGCCCAGGCCCAGACCATCTGACACCAACTGTGAGCTCAGGGACAGTGACTTTGTCATAACCATCTAGAAGCACTCCTGGATGGGTCCTCCAGCTCCTGCCACAGTTATAGGAAGCTGCCCTTTTATGTTGGTGGGCGATATGGGTGCCCTTTGCACACCGACTCTGGCTTGAGGTAGAGACCTGTCTTGCTTTTGTTTTACCCATAGAACAAACTCCAGGAGGCTCATGGAGTGAGGCTGGGGAGAGTGAGGGCCGGTCCTGGGCTCTCAGTACTGAAGCACTGAACACAGAGATGATTTTATTATTCAGATGTAGCTGGGTGGCCCCTTTCCCTTCCCCTCCCCCTGCTGGAAGTTGAACCAGGCACTAGGTACTCACTCCCTCTACCACTGAACTGTGGCCAGCTCTGCAGCCTTTAGTCCTCCTTCCTCCCTAACCCTGTTAAGAGTCTGTGTCCTAGCTTTGAAGATGGATTTCACTTGCCTTCTTTGCTCATGGTCTCGGGACCCGGACACGAGCTCTGTTCCCAGTTGTATAACCTTGAACAAGTCGTTCCACTCCTGGGCTTGCAGGGTTTCACTTGTAAAGGGAAGGGGTTGATGCCTAAATCTTATCAAAACTGCGGGTTTGATGACCTCACCCTATCTCCTCATCCCCTGGAAGATGTCTGGATTCGGGTTCTGCATTATTTTGTTCTCTATTCAGCTTTCATTGTTTCCATAAGAAACTGGGCCTGGGGAGATGACTCAGTGGTCAAGAGCACTTGCTGCTCTCAGAGAGGGTCCTAGCACCCAAATCTGTTGACTCCCAGCTCAAGCTCCAGGCAATCCAGCACCCTTTAATGTCCCCCACAGGCACTCCCATGTACGTGGAACACACACACACACACACACATATACACAGACGCACACTCATACACATAAATAAGAAAAAAAGTAATTTCAGGAAGAGGCAACTAAAACCAAAGTCTTTGTTGGAGACCGTGGAGGCTGTGCTAAGAGGGAGCACATTTTGCAATGGAAAGGCTGCTATTCTGACTATTTTTAGTTTATGGTTCGGGGGCATTCGTTACACTTACGGGGTTGCGCATCTATCACCCCATCCATTTCTGGCACTCTTCCGTCACCTCACGCAGAAACTGTATACAGGAAGCAGTCATTTCTCACCTCTTTCCACCCCCAAAACCTATAATTTGTCTTTTTTTCCTATTATGTGCTTGCTTTTTTGGTATAGTTTCTAACATGGGTCAAACACCATTTGTCTAGCTGCTTGTCCTTAGAGAAAGTTTTCTAACTTTATCTGTTGAATTGGATGAAGTTGGACAGACTCTAATCCCACACCTGGCAGAGAGAGCGCGGTAATTTTCTAAGATTGGAGCCAGCCTAGACCACGTATTCAGACCTTGTCTCAAAACCAAAGCAAGGGCCAGGTGTAAAGTAGCATGCTTAATTCCAGCACTCGGGAAAGGCAGGTGGATCTCTGTGAGTTCGATAGCCTAGTGTATACAGTGAGTTCCAGGTAGTCAGAGCTACATAGTGAGACCCTGTCTCAAAACAACAACAATGTACAAAAGAAAAAACTCCCTCCCCCAAAGCAAAGCTAAGCCAGTGAAGGTCATACACATACACTGGGTTCAGGGTACAGTTTGATAGTAGAGTGATTGTCCAGTACCTCTGTCTTTCTGCCCTTTCTCTATAAAGAGATCCCAGGGGCCGGGCGGTGGTGGCGCATGCCTTTAATCCCAGCACCTGGGAGGCAGAGGCAGGTGGATCTCTGTGAGTTCGAGGCCAGCCTGGTCTACAAGAGCTAGTTCCAAGACAGGCTTCAAAGCTACAGAGAAACCCTGTCTTGAAAAAAAAAAAAAAGAGAGAGAGATTCCAGGGCTGGGGATGCAAAGAGCTAGTCTAGCATGCATAGGGCCCTAGGTTCTATTCCCAGCACAGAGAGGGGAAACACTGATTCGTCATTAGATTTAGCATCCACTCTAAAAACAAAATGACGTAAACTTTATTTATTTATTTATTTATTTATTTTTTGGTTTTTTGAGACAGGGTTTCTCTGTAGCTTTGGTGCCTGTCCTGGAACTAGCTCTTGTAGACCAGGCTGGCTTCGAACTCACAGAGATCCGCCTGCCTCTGCCTCCCGAGTGCTGGGATTAAAGGCGTGCGCCACCACCGCCCGGCTGACGTAAACTTTAAAACATTGATGACATCTACCCAATTTCCAAAAAAGGGTCCCGTTCACAGGTATTGAAGGGTGGGACTGAGGCTATTTTGGAAGGCCTGGGGCACAGAGTTGAGCCCATTGCTTTGTCTGGGCTACAGGGGAAAGCTGTCCTTAAACTCAGGCCCTACCTTTCCCATGATACCTCTACAGTGGCCCTGGACTTCCAGGGCCAGCAGCTGTCCTTGCTGTCCCTTCTGATAGACTTTGTGAGGAAAAGCTATCTGAGCTCGAAGCCTTTCACACTGTCAGCTCTGCCTGTGAGACTCATGCCTCAGGATCCTCAGGAAGTTCTTCTCTTGTTCCTTAAGCAGAGGGCTTTGCTTTCTGACCAACAGTGTTCTGGACTGGAAGCTGGCGAGTATGCATGCTGGAGCAACAAGGAGGTCCCAGCTTCCTCCCTGTGCTGGCCTGTGTTCTGTAGTTATTTTCTTTTTCTTTTCTTTTCTTTTTTTTTTTTTTTGGTTTTTCGAGACAGGGTTTCTCTGTGGCTTTGGAGCCTGTCCTGGAACTAGCTCTTGTAGACCAGGCTGGCCTCGAACTCACAGAGATCCGCCTGCCTCTGCTTCCCGAGTGCTGGGATTAAAGGCATGAGCCACCATCGCCCGGCTCGGTCGTTATTTTCTGATGACAGAGAAGCAGAAGCCTCTGTGAGGGATGGCAACTGGGACCCTCATGGCCTTCTGGTCCCTGGAAGTTGTATTTCATTGAGTTGAGACCGTCTCCAGGCTAGACAGCCTCCACGGTTCTCACGTGCTGGTGTCCTCCTCTCTTTACTGGTCCTGCTGGTTTCCTTCCCAGGATGTAGAGATCGGTCCTCAGGTGGAAGCCGTGTTATCTCTTCTGAGTACCCCAGGCCTAAGCCTGAAGCTGGTGCGGCCCAAAGCCTTGCTGGACAACTGCTTCCGGGTTATGGAGCTGCTGTACTGCTCTTGCTGTAAGGAGACCCAGTGGGTGGGGTGGGCAGCGGTAGGCCACAGGGATCCGGGCCCAGGTTTGTGGGCGGAGTCCACACTGCCTTGGGAATGCTCCCTTTTCTGGAAGCTGCAATGGGCCTAGAGTACGGAGAATGTGTGGTTTGGCTGTTCTGTCCCACAGTGCTTTTTTTCATTCTGTCTTACAGGTAAACAAAGTCCCATCCTGAGATGGCAGGACTGTGAGCTGCCGAGTCTCCATCCCCACAATCCAGGATCCTTGATGCAGTGTGCAGCTACCCACGTGTACCCTTTGCCTCGGCAACCCCCCACCTCCCTGCCCGGTTCCCCCGGCTCAAGTCACGGTCCATTCCCCTGAGCCATCTGTGTTGACCACAGGTCAGGCCACTGGATGTCTTCCAGGAACTGGCCCGGGTCTGAGGCTTTCTGGGATGGTAGGTAGGTAGACCTGCAGGAAAGCCCTCCTGGGAAAGGCATCGTGCCAGGCTCAGCTTCCTGCCTTTCGTACCTAAGTGATGCCACCTGGAGCCTCAGGAGGGCGGGGTGGAGGGGAAGGCTGGTGCTGCCACCCACAGCCACCCCTACCTGTGACTGGTTCTGCTATCGGCAAATGCTGTTGCCCCACAGAATTCTGGGACTCACTGGGGCTTTGCAAGCGTGCTGAACGCGGGGTGCTGGACCGAGGACTGACCAAATGCCGTATCTTGCCACAGCAGTGCTTTCCCGGTTCCTTTTCTATTAAACGACCACTCGCTTGGTTTGGCTTGCACCCGTGAAGGTGAACCCGGAGGGACTAAGTTCTGGAGACAGGTGGGTGGGCTTGTGGCTCAGGGAAGACAGGCGGGGGCCAGGGTGTTAACTACAGGACCATTTTATTAATACTGGAATCTTCACAGTGCATCTGTTACTTGTAGCAGTGACTACTTAATCACGGAAAGGATGGAAAGGGTGTGGGTAGGAGAATTTATCCAAAACGGAAAGAAAATTTAAAAAAAAAAAAAGTGGTTCTGATGGGATGAGAGGGTGGTAGGTGGGGGGTGGGAGTGAGTAGGAACCAGGAGGGGTGGCAAAATAAATTAAAAAAAAAAAAAGGAACACGTTAACAGCACCAGAAAAGTTACTTCAGTCAGAAGACACATCTGAAAAGAATATTTTGCTGTACAAAATGAAAAATGTAAGTGAAGAAGCCAAAGTCTGTGGTGCAGGACAATTGGCTCGGATCCCGAGGGTGGGCCTATGTGAAAGGCAGGTACTAAAGAGAAAGTGGCAGTGGGCAGAAGGGGACGTGGGGGTCAGACGAGGGATGGAGTATTATGTACAGCCCTGGAGGGAAGGGGAAGGCTGAGTGGGGATGGGTATGCCACCCCATCCTTTTCCTGCAAAGTCCCTGACTGCCCTTTCCATCAGGCTTAGAGCCCCCCCTCCCAGATGGCAGTGAGCCCATCCTCTCGGACACAGCCACACCCTAGGTGTAGGGGCCACATCTGCCCACCCCACATCATGCGTCCCTTTCTGTCAGCCCTGACAGTCCTAGGGGAAGGTGCCACCCCAGGGTTCCACATCTGGCCATCTGCTTTCCTGGACCTGATACTTGGTGACAACTGAGCTTGGTGGACAAGGGCTTACATCTGGAGCTCATTCTCTAGAAATCTCATGGGTGCTGGAGCACCCAGGACCTTGGGCCCAGGTCAACCCCAACTCCATTCCATCCTGACCACGGCACGCTCTCCAGACTCCCTGTGGGGTGGGGGGAGTCTGCTGCCTGCTCTACCCGTACCTCCTGAATCTCCCCTCTCACCCTACACATACATGCTTTGACTTACTCAGACTTGGGGTGCACAGTGGAGGCAATCCCCACTTTCTCTGGCCCCCGCTGCCAGCCCCAGCCAGGCCTGTAGGCAAAGACTTTCTAGGGATGGTGTTGCCTCTGGCAACAGAAAGTCAAAAGCAACCTTCTAAGACTTGCTCCAAGCTGGGCCTGCAGCTCACTCAGAACACAGCAGACTGGCCCGAGACCCTGGCCTACCCTCTCCAGCCTTATTCTACCAACACTCCAGACGTTGGAGAGAAGACTAGCTTCCCCTGGTCTGGGGAGAGCTGACTCCACCCTTCTCCTGCCACGAGCCCGTCGTGGGGCCCCCACATCTGTCTCAGGCACTCAGACACACACCCTGTATCACTAGCTAGCCCCACACATAGTTCCTGTCTGGGGTCAGCTCCATTTTATTACAGTCATAAAAATACCCCCCATACCCTCTAATGCTCCAGCCCTCATCCCTAGCAATGGGTGAGACTGTAACCCCAAGCTGCCTCCGAGTTAAAGCCTCGATGTGTCCAGATGAGAGCGGGACATTTAACAGATCTGATGTGCGCCTCTGGCCTCGTTCCCCTGCTGCGCTGCCTCACCTCCACTAGCTACAAGTTACAGGGAGGGGAGCTGGAAGGTCCCCGAGGCAAGGCCCCTACATTTCCTCCCTCTAGGCTCTCTTTCCACACGAGTGGGCCTGCCTGGCTTCCCAACCTGACTATTCCCTAATCCCAGTCACAAATTGATACTCAGCTGATTGGGTGCCTGACCCCTCCCATGACCATTCTGCCCCCAAAAGAGTGGAGTCTGGGAGAGGCAGGGTAAAGGCAAGAAGAAAGGGGACAGGGCCCAGGCAGGGAGAAGAGGGAGCCAGCATTCGAGGAAAGAGCTGGGCATATGGACGTGGGGGGCAGTGGGACCAGAGGAAGAGAACTGTGGACCCCGGGCCAGGTGGGGCCCATGTGGCAGGCCCAGCCATTGGTTATGGGCTCTGGGTTTGGGACAAAGTAGGGCCTGCAGGAAAGAGCGGGAGGAGGTGAGGAAAGTATAAAACAGGCTCTGTCCTGGCGAGGTGCGGAAAGGAAGTCGCCTCCCGTGAGATGCTGAGATCAGCCTGGTCGTCTTTCTTTAAAGTGGCTGTGCCTCATTCCTGGCGCTGTTCTGTCTTCTGGCTGTGCCACTGCTCAGAGTGGCTGGCCATCGCTTGCAGACCAGGCCCCCTACTTGTGCCAGCCCAAACGTGAAGTGAAGGGGAGGGTGGCACCATCATAAGATACGGGGCGCCGACCTGTCGTTGGTGACGGTCCTGCGGAGTCGGACCCCGCGTCGAATTGCCACCAGCATGTCTTCAGCTGGGGGGTCACTGGTGGCAGCAGGGGGTGGGGTGGGCGTCTCCTCCGAGGCCGTGGCTGACAGAGCCGTCGGGAAGGGGAACTGGCCCTCACCCAGGGCATGGGCGCCGGCCACCAGCTCCCCGAGCTTCTCTACCAGGCTGTGCCTGTTGGCAGCCAGCTGCTGCTCTTCATCGTCCTCAGTGGCCAGCCCAACCCCAGCCCCGCTGTAGCTGGCCGCCTCCGGGGAAGGGCTGCCCCAGGCTGTGTTGGGGAGGCTGAGCCTCTTTGGGGAGGCTTTGGCCAGGTCTGGAGCCAGAGGCGAAGCCACTTCGTCTGTGTAGAAGACACACTCCTCGCTGCCTGCCCGAGTAGGCCCCACATAACCAGGGGAGTCGGGTACCGTGGGTGTCTTCACAGGGACGATGGGTGGGCGAATGGGGATGGGGCCAGCGCTCGACAGGGCGCGGCGCACAGTGGGCTTGGTAGAGGGTGTGCGGCGGATGGTGGCCACACCAGGAGGTGCACCTGAAGGTAGCCCCATGGCTGTGGGCAGCCCTGCAGTGGGCAGCCCAGCAGTTGAGGCAGGGCGCTTGGTCTGGATCAGGCGGCGGTAGTTCTGGGCAATGTTGCTGTTCCGAGGGATGGTGGATGATTTGTCGAACTCAGGGGGGCCCTCGCTGTCGGCATCCCCATTCACAGAGTAGCAGTCATAGTCTGAGCCTGGAGACACAGGGTGTGGTGAACCCAGGACCAAGGTGCTCCCTGAACCCCACATTTACTCAAGGGAGACAGAGAGAAGGAAGGAAGGCCTCATCCCAGTTGTCCTGGGTTGGGTGGGTCCTGGGGTGGTGAAGGCCCAGCAAGCACATACAACCTGAGGGACCCCTCTAGGCCTACCCTGGGAGGGAATGGTGTCCTCGGAGCACGAAGGCGTGGTGGTCTGTGTGCTGTAGCCGCTGGAGTATTGCAGTGAGTCCCGGCTGCTCTTCTGGTGTTCCAGGCTCAGCCCACGGGTCAGCACCATGGCCAGGTCGCTGGCTGCAGGGGACACTTCCTCACCATGCTGAGGGTGGGGAAAATGGCGGACTAAAGCCTCACACTCCACATCAAACCCTCTTTAGAGACTTTAGAGAGCTCCATTAAGGTGGAGAGAGTAGGCCCGGAAGATCACCTGCAGGCATGTGGACATCCTGGCATTGACTCGAGAGCAGAGGTGGGTCTGGCTGGGGAGCTGTCTACTTACCTTGGCTGCTATAGTGGCAGGAGACATCCTGGTTCGTGGTACCTCCTCTCCACTGGGGCCCACAATGCTTCCACCAGCAGGGCCTGGCTCAGTGTCTCGCAGGAGCTCCACACGATCTTTCCTCCGCTGCAGGGTGGTGGCCGAGGGCTGTTCATGGGGACCCGCCTTGGTCCAGTCCTGCAAGGTAGGGCAAGCAAGTCAGAAGGACTCTTGGCCTTACTGCCCGTGACCAAAGAGGCCCTTCTTTGTGGTTGAGGCTCAGGGAGTGCTGATCTGTGAGGGGCCTATTGTTTACAATAAGGGCTAAGGCCCGAATCCGGTGGGCAGTGGTGACTTCAGTCCCACCAGCTCAGAGCAGGGCAGGTTGTTCCAAGACTCAAAGGCATGGCCACAGCAAATGCCCAAGCGTCTGCTTCACAAAGAAAGCTCCGTTACATATCGCTTTCTCGTGGAATCTGGCTGCCCTGCTGTAGCAATGCCCCGGGTTAGGAGGATATGGGATGGGTAGCTGGTGATGGCAACGGGACTGGGGCCAAGGGCACTGACCGAGGTGGGGGAGCTGCACTCGCTAACCGACTGGCAGGTTTCTGAGGCCTCGGAGGACGCAGAGCTGGAGGACTTCTGCCATGCAGAGGCGAGTGGGTGGTCGCAGACGGGGCCCGCGGACAGACAGGCCAGGGAGGCAGGGAGGAGAAAAGAGTTCTGGTCACAGCAGTAGCATGCAGTGAGCGGTTTGATAAAGCACTTCACCCCATACTCCCCTCCTGGTATGACAGTCACCAAGACCACCACAGAAGGCAGCGTCCCAGGGAACATCCTGCAGGCGCCAACTTGCCCACAACCCAGTCCATATGTTTAAGTCTTCAATTTAGGATTGACTGCTGACAACTTATGCATGGCAGCAAAGGAAAGAGTGACACCGAGGACAAAGACGGATGTCTGGTTTGGGCATCTTGGTCGATGATGTCACTATTTTCTCAGGAAAGGGACGACCTAGAGTCCTGAGCGCCATTCTGGGTACATGTGGCTGAGCTGCCCATCAGTTCTTTGTGCTTAAGCACACGTATGACCTGGAGTAAGGGAAGAATTGGGACTGTGGCTAGGCACTGGGCAGCGGTCGGGCAGGATGAGGCGCGTGAGTCTCTGGGGCAGACACTCAGCAGCAGGGAGGATGAGGATAGAAGGGTACAGGATCTCAAGGAGGATGCTGACTCTGGCGCTGAGACCAGAGCTGAAGTTGGGGGATGCCCCATCACTGTGGGATGGGTCAGCCAGGCCAGGGTGGCTTCAGTACCTTCCCCCGCCACCATTTCCATACCTCCCCCATTTAGACTACTAGACTTCCTACAGTGGAGAGCCAAGACCACCCGATGAAAGAGAACAAGGCACCAGAGAAGAGGACCGAGGGGGAAACAACACATTCGCATTT